CTTTTTTTTTTGTCTGCTAGTAAACTTAAAAGCCCAATGCGAAACTTTCTGGCAAATGTGTAGGAACCTCAGGGATGGGATTAGTGTACTCACGTCCCCCTTAGCTACCTAGTTCCCTACTGGGTTTCTTTCTTTCTTTTTTTTTTTTTTTTACTTCTGGGTTTCTTTACATGTGCTCTATTAAAAAATCTTTTTTTTGAAATGAAGAGTGGGATGTTAATAACTATGCTATCCTTACACTTCAGGTTTTATTAATCAGTTCTAACTGAAGGGTGGCTAATTTATACATTACACTTTTGTCAGCTAAAACATGTGAAATTTCTGTTAAATATCATAAATGTTTCCCCCTGTCAAATTATTATTATCAGCTGATGTTGTTGCCTTTTTATTTACTTTGAATTCAGATAATTTCTAAGATTAGCACCTATTTGGCTGCTTGGCTGTTTCTGTCATTAAAAACTTTATTTCCCCCCTGCATCTTAAATGATTATATTTATGTATACTAAAAGTGTGTTGAATATAATTTGGTGCTATGTTCAGAGAACTGTAAATGTTTATACCTATTTATTCAGTCATCCCATTTCCAAGTATCTAGCCTAAGGAATAATGCTAAATATAGAAATGTGCACACTTACCAAAAGTTTACCACACCTAATTCATAATTGTAAAAAATAGAAAATAATTGGCATGTCTTAGAGTGAGGAATAGATATTAGCTATATTATGGCCACTGAATGTACTATTCTGTACCTGTTTTTTAAATGAAGGTAATAATGATCATTTAGTGACTTTAAAATTAATGTCTTATAATGATAGGTAAAAGAAGCACTGTGTGAAACAGACGTACTAAATAGAGTTTAAGAAAATACACAAATGGCAATTGTGTTTAAGTATAAGTGTATCATTCTTTTGTATGTTTTTGGTTTTAAAACCTGGGATTATTGAAATTTTTAATTCTCATAGGAATCTTTCTCTCCCCCTCCCCCTTTCAGATGTGAATCTGGTTACACTGGACAGCACTGTGAAAAGACGGACTTTAGTATTCTCTATGTTGTGCCAAGTAGGCAAAAGCTCACTCATGTTCTTATTGCAGCAATTATTGGAGCTGTACAGATTGCCATTATAGTAGCGATTGTCATGTGCATAACAAGGTAAGTAATGACCTAAGAAATACCAACCTTCAGTTAGAGATGTGTAGCTATTAAATTAAAGAACCTTGAAGCACACTGAAAATGATAGATGCTTTAAGTCCTCCAGTCTATTAGGAAAAAAATCCTAGAATTAGTTCCCTAAGGTTTCTGTGTAGAGGTCTGGCCTCTCCTTTTCTTGCTTCCTTAGAATATGGGCACAAACTCATTCTCAGGGTTACATGGATAACTAGGCTGCAGGTAGAAGGAGCATGAGAATATTCAGTGGCATGCAGGAAATTAGGGATCTTAGAACTGCATGAGGGATGATGATGGTAGTAGCAGAAGGACCATGCCCAAAATTTTTAAAGCTCTGAAGAACTGGAAGGTGTTTATGCCCTAAGAATATACTTTATCCACAGTAAATATAATAAGAAAGGAAGAAATCAGAGATAAAAGAAAACTACTTTTTTTATTCTATCATTGTCTTAACATTACTTCATTTTCTGGAATACAATCGTAAGGAACCTTTAAAATTTTCCATCATAACTAAAACCATTGGTGTTTATTGTAACTAAACTCCAAATTAAAAGACATATTTGGATTACAATGGGTGTAAAATGGGTATTTTCCAAACTGAGTGGAAACGTGTAAGTCAGAGATGAACAGGACCCAAGAAGAGTCAGACTAAATCCAATTCATATTGTTCTGCTTCCCAGTGTCATGTCTTTTCATCTTGCTTGGCTCTTCCTATCCCCTTTAAGATTTGGTTCAGAAGTTCCATAAACATCATCTCTGTACTTTTCTGCATTATTCTGGGCAGAGAATTGGAGCATATCAAGCACAGATATTGGCAGGCCATCATGGATTTATGGCTCTTCTATCTAAGATCTGGATAGAAGCCAGACCTTCAATACTCCAAGCCATCTGGAGCTGAAATGATAAATCTAGAAATGATTAAAAAAACGTTCTCTGAGTAACGGGTATTTTTCATAAAATTTAGGTGCTAAAGTCAGTGGCTTTATTCCACAGAACAGATGATCTGCCCTTAGGCAAGACTACTGAGAATAAAATTGGGCAATAGATTAAAATAAGGATGTAGTGATGTGAAAAATAACAGTAGAAAGGGAAAATAGAAGCAACCCATGTAACAGCTGAGCTGCCTGTGGCCATTTAATATAGGCTTAGAGGTTAGGTAATTTGCCTGTGGTCATCTAACTAGTAAGTGGAAGTGCCTGGATTTGGATTAAGTGCTGCCTCATTTCCAAACCATTCCTCTTTCCACGGAACCATCAAGAGGATGGTCCATGTTGAGTCTTTTGAGGAAGTATATTTGCCAAGTATGACCATGGGAGCAAGGTTCAAACTTGATTTTGTTAGTGACAGGGCTTTTGGATAGAGTTGAGGAGATAACTTGAAATGAATCCTTTTTTTCCAGACCATTGATCTGAGTGTCATCTGCAAGATATTACTGGAGGAGAGAAAAAGAGAAAACATGATGTCAGGGGAACCATATAGGTTAATTATTCTAGTAAAGCAGGAGTTGAGTAATAAATTATATGGAGGGTGAGAGAAAGAAATAAGGTAAAGATGAGGAAAGTTTTTGAGGTTCAGTGAAAGTGCCATCTTTAAGAAGATCAAAGGATGTTCGAATCAGCAGGAAGCAACTTTGAGTCAACCCCTTCCATTCTAGAGAAGTAAGGAAATTTAAAGGTCTGGATGGGGGAAGTACCTTACTCTAGATCATGGAGGTAGTTAAGCCGTTTTACAAATCCTAATCCAGCCTTTTATCCTGCTCTTTGCCTCTGTTCTCAGTGTGCTATAATTTTCTACATTCTAATTCTACTAAGTTAAAATTACTGACAGGAATTTTTTCAAGTTCATGCCTTCTAGCTGATATCCCAGATTCATTTACTGCCTTCACAGACACTTCGAACGTCAGAATGTTTTTGCAAACATGTTACATTGTCTTCACTGCCCACTGCCTCTGTGACTGAAGGGGGTCATCTCCCTGAATTTTATCATACATCTCTCCTTGAGGCCTGTCTTTTTATTGTGTTGTTTTTTCCCCTCAAATGTTTTGCTTCTTGACTTTAGAATATTATAATTATGTACTTGGACTTAGCTTCACTGAATTTTTAAGGAGTGTCTTTCCCACACAGTCCATTATGGGACAGCTGTTTTATCCCATGGTGGCTGTTACATGCGAGGAATCTCCCTTTCAAAGGATGTTCCCACTGACTCACTTATCAAGACTGCAAGAGTAAAACTTTGTTCTTTTATGCTTGGGATCTTCTTTCATATTTTTAGACACTTAGAATGACAGAAGAGCAGGGACCTCAAACATTATCCTAGTCAAACCCCTTTATTTTATAGATGACAAAACCATGGCCCCAGGAAGTTAGAACTTTTCCAATGTCATGGTGAATTGGTGACAGTTAAAGAGGTTTGCTTGGCCTCTCAACTGTGAAATGGAGATGATTTCATCATTGTCTACCTCAAAGTGTTTTTAGGAGGATTAGTGAGATAAAATTTATGAAATACAGTGTGTGAAATGAAAGTGTTACCATCAAGGCTTTCAGGTCAAGGCAAAGCAGTGCTCTTTGAAACTGAATTAAAAACATGGAACTCTAGGAGTACTCCATGCCACAAGACTTTCTTTAGATTAAATTATAAATTCCTTGCTGGCAGAGATTTTAGAGGCTGGTTCAACTTTTAATATTTCGCATACAGGAAATGGATGTTGCACAGCTAGTTTTTAGCAGAGCTTAAGCTCAAAATTACCAGAATCCATCTCAGTGCCTTTGCACCACATTACGTACCTCAGCCCTTGGTGCGTAATAAGATCTCATAAGTTTGGATTCTGATGGACAGGCATACGAGCAGTTACAGCAAGTGAGATTTATACTACCATGGAGAACAAGTACAGTAGAACCAAGGACTGTCCCTTACCCCCAGCATGACAGTTCTTTATCGAGTTCTGTGGTCAAGCAGGATGTGGAATGACTTCTTTTGAGTCAGTGTCTAAAATCACTAAGCATTTCTTGTGTGTTTGTTCCTGTGCATGCACACCTCTTCCTAATTACTCCTTCATCCAAGCTGTTCTTGTCACTTTGCGGGTGTCGTCATGCTCAGGAGACATATATAGGCCAGAATCCTTTCAACTGTCCAAGGTTTATGTGTTATTAGTCACTGTGGCTAGGGAGCTGCCAGGCCAGAGGAAGGACAAGGATTCCTCTCAGGGAGGCATAGGCAGCAATAGAGACCCGGTAGTGAACTTTGCTTGTGCTCACACCTGCTGTACCTAGCCCTCTCACCTCCCAGCTCTGTAGGGAAGAGAGCAGTCTGACATGTTGGTCCTCAGCTTGTCTTGCATCAAACAGCATCCTGTTTCCCAATATGGCTTTGTGTGTGAAATGTGTATGACTTTGGAAACATTTAAAATACCTTAAACAAAATGATGTTTTTCTTTTTTTTTTCTTTTATTTTCAACAGAAAATGCCCTAAAAACAACAGAGGACGGCGACAGAAGCAAAACCTAGGTCATTTTACTTCAGATACGTCATCCAGAATGGTTTAACTGGTGACTTTTATATGTACACTAACCATGTGATGTACATTTATTATGTCTTTTTTTAAAGAATGGAAATATTTATTTCAGAGGCCTTATTTTTGGACATTTTTAGTGTAGTACTGTTGGCTCGTATTTAGAATATTCAGCTACAACAGTTTTGGACTGTTTAGTAGTCTTTGTTTTATGTTTTTAAATACAGAAATTGATTTCACGAATTTATACCACATGGTAATTCTAAGACTTGTTCTTTACCCATGGAATGTAATATTTTTGCAAAGAAGGACCACTTCACAAATGGTTATAAAGTCATACCCACTTCTTCCACAATGACCACAACAAATGACCAAGCATGAACTAAAGGTAAAGATGTTTACAGATTACTTTTCTTACAAAAAAAAAAGATAAAAAATCTAGAAGACACTGTGTTTAAATAGACATTTAAATGTTTTTGAGATTTAGTAACTGATTTTTTAGACACTGCCTATCGCATGACCTGTAAAGCTGTGTGTGTTAGATGTAAAATATTTATAAACTCTATGGATTGGAATTTGATTATTCCTCTCTTTGAAAAAATAATTCTGATAATTTGGAAAAGTATCTGGTAGCAAAGTTGGAACAGATCATTGGAAAGTAGATTTAGATATTGTGAGAATTGTCTGTTTAACAAACAGATTGGAATAAAGCCTACTCGATCAGTTAAACTACTTTAATACACATTCATTTTTAAGAAATATTTGTTTTAACATAAACAAATTGTATCAGTGTTCGTGAATAAAATACAAAAATGATTGTTAATGATTGGTGCTCTTAAGGTGAGCTTAAAAATTATCTAAGACCTCTATCCAAATTTGTTCTGTAGTAATAGCTGTATTAATAGATTGTTGGTGTTTAAAGATCTGAAATGTGAGTAGAATGTATTCAGCTGTTTAACATGTAGTTTAGATATTTGGAAGTATGCATGTAGAATTTAAGAATATGTTCAAAAATAAATATTAATTTTAATATTTTGTTTGGAAAAGCATGTTATAATATAATGTTTTCACTATATGGCCTCTGTTTTGGTGTATTTATTTACCACATTCTTTGATATTGATGAATCAGTACATTTAATATGTGAAGTAGAGAAAGATTTCAGTTCAGAATTCCCCTTTGCTTTTACAAATACTGCTTGAAATTATCTAAAGGCAGAAGCTTCCCTCAACATGCAGCATTTGGTTTTTTGGTCATTTGGCTCCTCGGCTTATTACTAGTAACATGGTGGCTTTGGGGAACTTCTTTTTTTTTTCAGCTTTCCTCTTCTCTCCACACAGTCTTATTTGAGTCCATTAGTCAGTCACCAAGCATGTTTGGAACAGTACCCAGTGCTCTGCAAGGGTTCATATTGCAGAACGGTCATGTGTGGGTATTTGTAGTTATAAATACTTGACCAGTCTCCAGGGGTGGGGTTTCCAACCCTTTAAACAACCCTGTTGCCTGTTATCAAGCTAACTTTTTACTCTTAGTGCCAGATTTGATTGTGGTGGGACATCTTTCACTGAGAAATAACTAAAATGGAACATAATGAGTCTGCTTCCAATGCTGATAAAATCCACCAAAATCGCCTGTCAAGCATTACAGAAGACGAAGACCAAGACGCCGCTCTTACCATTGTGACGGTGCTGGACAAAGTAGCCACCATTGTGGACAGTGTGCAGGCAAGCCAGAAGAGACTAGAGGAAAGGCATAGGGAAATGGAAAATGCCATAAAATCTGTCCAGATTGACCTGTTGAAGCTTTCCCAGTCACACAGCAATACAGGCTATGTCATTAACAAGTTGTTTGAGAAAACTCGAAAAGTCAGTGCTCACATTAAAGATGTGAAGGCCCGGGTGGAGAGGCAACAGGTTCATGTGAAAAATGTTGAATCCAAGCAAGAGGAAATAATGAAAAAAAACAAATTCCGTGTGGTGATCTTCCAGGTAAGCTTGCCACTTTTGCATTTGGCTTGATTCCTGTAGAATCTTAATATCCTTGAATTGCCAACCATTCGTATCAGAAGTTTCTGGCATCACATCATAACTATTGTATATATTCATGGAGTAGAGTTCTGTATTAACGAGAATCCCAGGATAAAGCCATTTCTATGTTCTCTCATGTACTATATCCTATCAGTATTTTGAGTTTCCCAACCATTTTGTGTAATATAAACTTAGGCTATTTCTTGACTTTGAAACTTAATATTGGTAAGGCTCTTCCAGCATATTAGCCATATTAGCATGATGCCCTTTCAAAGACTGAGAATGTTAGTTCCAGAAGAGATCTAAGAAGCTTCTAGTTTAAAACACCTCTTTGTTGTATAAAAAAAGAAACTGAGGACTAGGAGTCCCACAGTGTGGTTTTCCCCTTTATTATGGAGAGAGCCTGGAAATCCTTAAACAGTAAAATGTAAACTTTTCAGAATATTGTTTGTTGGCATTTTTACATGTGATTTTATATGTAAGTTACAATCATAGTAAGAAAACTATTTCTTAAATAATCAGGCAGTTTTTATAGTTGTTACAGTTTTACAGATGTTGGAGTCATATAAGTGATTGCTTATATTTGATTACAAACTCTTTTGACTCAGCTTATTTAATATAGTAGTTTTAGTGTGACATTGCGTATTGTGCTAATAAGTTCCTATGTTTCTCTGCATTTGGCATTCATATTTTTTTAAATAGGAACACATCCATGGCAAAATGCATAATATCTATATTTTAAAACTTACATATCAAAAGGAAAAAGTTGAACACTCTTCCTGTGGTAGAAAAATGGGAAAGTCATTATCAGACCATTTACAAAAGACAAAATAAATGATCAGAATTCCACTTGTGCCCATTTGAGTATTTTCAGTTATTAAAACATATACTCAGAGTTTAAGGGTAAAAAAAGCCAGGTACTTTCATATGCTGGTGGCAGTATTAACTGGTATAACATTTCTGGAGGGAAGTTTTGGTGGTATGTTATTAAGAACCTTTACAAATCTTCTGGCCCCAACATTCCATGTCAAAGGATTTTTCTAAGCATAAAATCAGGAATGTATGCAGGGATATTCACTTTTGTACATACATATATATATTCAGTGTTATCACAGTATATTTTAAAAATGGATGGATACCCCTGTGCATAGGAAAAAAACCTCGAAGAGTAAAAACAAAATGAAATAGGAATGCAGTTGGATTACGTAGGCAGATATTTGTAAGGCACTAGAGATATGGGCCACAGCTCCCCACAGCATTCTTCACATGTTAGACAGTTTTCCACAGTGGTCTGTTGACTGATGGAAGTTACCCTGGGATGGCAGAGTAGTATTTTGGATCTGTTTTTAAGAACCTTGTTTTACTTAAGAAAAAGAGGCCAGTCCCAGTATTAGTGTATGTAATGGGGATCTATATTTGGTACTAGAGAATGTAGGATCCATTCTTCAGTTCCCTTTCCAAGGGCATTAGCTGGAATGGGTTATGTCGCACCCTTCACTTGCACGGGGCATGCCAGGAAACATTCTTGGTATCTGACATTTCTCCTATGAACCAGTTACCAATCAAAATCTACAAAGGCTAGAAGAAAGAAGTTTCTGAAATGTTCTAATTGACTCTTGTCTATTGACAATTTTTTTTTACAGTTAAGATTATTTTCTATATTCACCTTTTTATTCCCTGAAGCTTGTTATTTTTTCTCTTTGATTTCCTATAGTTTAAAAAGTTGAAGATAGTATGAAAAAGCTACTTAGAGGTGCTAATTTAAGTCAGATCTCATTCCTTGTAAGATACAATGCTGTGAAGTTTTATGAAATTAGGTTGTTTGGAGGAAGCAGTAGTTTGTCAGTAAGCAGCTGCTATTTTTTATAACGGTAGAGCTTGTAGAGAAAAGATGAAGGTAAAAAACAATGGATTTGATGATTCATTAGCTGTTAGAGCACTATACAGTATGTACATGGTTATACTTAGTTAAAATTAGTTCTTATACTTCATTCTCATCATTAATGTATATAAGTGGTTATACTGAGATCATTTGTCCTACTGAAATTAACTGGAAGCTGGGATAATTCAGCTATAGTGTATTTCCATTTCTATTTGGGTTTTTTTCTCAAAAAGTTTTCCCTGGATACATCTTTATCTCCCATAGTTGTATATGGCTTAGCTTTCACCTAATCCTGGATATTGGCATTAAAAAAATTATCTGCTCTTTTTTATACAATTGTGATTTCTCTTTGAACATACTTTTTCACCTCGATAACCTTCTCATTGCAAGCCAGCAGTCATACTGTCTCTTCTAACAATTTTGCTTACAAACCACATGCTTGTACTTACCAAATGAGATATTTGGCCATTCCCTAATGATAAGTCCTGGACTTCTATATATTCAAAAGTCCCTTAGCTATGTTTCTTTAATAATCAAAGCCACTCTGATTACTCTGACCATAGTACTTGTTTTGTTACAAAAATGATTTTACCTGGACTTTTACATAAAAATATATATAACAATTATTTGGAAATAACTATAACTCAATCCCATAATCTTTGTGATCACTATTTATTATTATTATTATTATTATTATTTAAAGATTTATTTATTTATTCATGAGAGACACACAGAGAGAGGGGTAGAGACACAGGTAGAGGGAGAAGCAGGCTTCATGCAGAGAGCCCGACGTGGGACTTGATCCCTGGTCTCCAGGATCACGCCTTGGGCTGAAGGCAGCATTAAACCGTTGAGCTACCAGGCTGCCCTGATCATTATGTTTTAAAAGATTTTTTTTTTTATTCATTTGATAGCACGAGCAGAGGGGAGAGGCAGAGGGAGAGGGAGAAGCAGACTCCCCACTCAACAGGGAGCTTGACTCAGGGCTTGATACCAGGACCCTGAGATCATGACCTGAGTTGAAGGCAGAGGCTTAACCACCCACGTGCCTCAATCTTCAATTATTATTATTATAGTATATTCATCATTAACTCATGGTATCTCTGACTTAATAGGAATTGCGACAAATATTTCCATGTAACAAGTACTTTCTCTGATTCTACCTGTGTTTTGTTTTTAAGCATGATTTTGTTTAATTCATGCAATTGAAGAGAAGGGTATATGATTCCTGAGTTAAGCTATATCTGATTTCTTCACACTAAGATTGTGAGGTTTTCCCCCCTACTAAGCAGTAATTATTCTTTGGCTCCTTCCTATTCTAATTATACCTTCTCAGGCCATACCAACTCACTTGGTGTTGCTGAGCTACTCCCTGCAGCAGGTGTCAGGAAAGGAGAGGAATAATTTTGCTGCTTCACACTGATTCATCAGAGAGCTATGAGACGCCCACCTGCCTTTTCTTCCTTTTTTTTTTTTTAACTGCTAGACTTTCCAATCCTGTAGCCAAAGAATTTGATTTTAAGCAAGTATCCAAAGAAATGAGGTTCTAAGGACCTTCTTGACTGTCAAGCTGATGGGTTTTAGAGTAAACCTATTTCTTACATACTTATTAATATTTTTGATTGAGCAAATTTAATCTGGATCTTAAGTAGGAGCATAGTTTCTTTTAGAAATTTTAGCTCATGGATTCCCTTAAAATCTCATGATCCTTAAATTTTGCCTGTTTAGTTTTGGAAATAATCCCTAAATAGTAAGATGGGTTTCTCTAGCAGCTGTGTTTCTGGGCTGGTTATCAGGGGTCCCCAGTGTCTGTCTAGATTGGTTCCCAAATCCAGTCCTCATCCTTATCCTTTTACGCATCTGACATTGTTAGTCCCTCCTTCTCTTCTTAAAGCTTCTTTTCCCTTGGCTCCTTGAGGTGCTACTTTCTCGGATTTCCTCTTGCCTCACTGGCTGATAGTTCTCCTTTTTTGTTCTTTGACATCTTTTCCTTTTTATCTAGAGGTTCAAAAAGTGTTGTATATAGAGGTGTGTACCTATCATTCTGGTGTAAATTGGAGAAAGAATTAGCTTCTTGGGGGGACGTTGGGGACATTTAAATTGATTCTCAAAGATTTTGTTGACAGAACTGAAAAGAAGTGAAAGGCATTAAAAGTAATGAAAGAAAAAGGTAGTAAAAAATATACAAAGGCATGAAGAGATGAAAACATTGTGTTTGAGGAGCAGAGAGCGATTGTGTGTTGCTAGACTGGAAAGTAAGTTTAGCTCAAACTGAAGAGCCTTCTAATCTTACTATCTTTCCTATGATGTTGATAAGTTCCCAAAAGTTTTACAGTAGAGAAAGGATGTGTTCAGAGCTATACTTTAGAAATATTTCCCAGGAAATATTTAGGTGATGCTTTGGATGTAAATGTATTATTTCAAAAAGTTCAGGCTTGAGATGACAGGGACCTGAACTAAGACATTGGTAGAGGCAAGGAGGAAGGAGGAGGGGGCAGGAATTATTAAGCAGGGTTATCACCAGTGCTTGGTGACCCATGGGATATGGGTTGAAAGGAGAGGAAATACTTGGGTTGAAAATTCTGAGATTTCTATTTGGGTGGCACCTGGAGGGGGTTTGGTGCTGAGAGGCCCAGGAAAAGAAGCAGCTGTGGAGAGGATGGAGACGATGCTGTGTGGACCTCAATTTTTAGACATGTTAAATTTTAAAAAAATTGTATTTATTTAATCTAATCTAATTAATGAATTTATTTATTTTAAAGTAGGCACCACATCCTGCATGGAGCCCAATGCAGGGCTTGAACTCACAACCCTGAGATCAAGACCTGTGCTGAGGGCATCTAGGTGACTCAGTTGGTTAAGCATCTGGCTTCGACTCAGGTTATGATCGCAAGGTCCTGGGATCAATTCCAGTGTCAGTCTCCCTGCTCAATGGGAACCTGCTTCTCCCTGTCCCTCTGTCCCTCCCCTTTCCCCCACTTGTGTTCTCTTGTTCTCTCTCTCAAATAAATAACATCTTTATTTAAAAAAAAAACAACAAGAGTTGGATGCTTAACGGACTGAGGCCCCCTGGTGACTCTGGACGTGTTAAGTTTGAGGTGTCCCTGTTACTTCCAGGTGAGGTCTGTCTGTTATATAGAATTGTGTCACCATCTTAGGAGAAGGGGAGAGGTGAAAATATTTGTGAGTTTGCTTACTATTGGATCTGAGGGGAGGAGTGGGTCAGGTTGCTCTGGTTGAGCTTGGGAGACGAAGCAACAAGAGATAAGGAGAGAGAAACCCTGAGAAAAACCAACAGTTGAGGCACAGGCGGAGGCTGCATAGCCTGTGGAGGAGATGGAAAAGGTGTGGCCAGGAGGTAAAAGAACTGATAACCTAATGTGCTTTTTCTCTTTCTCTCCTTCAGGAGGAGATTCGGTGTCCAACATCCCTGTCTATTGTCAAGGACAGAAGCCTAACTGAGAATCAAGAGGTCGAGGACGATGTCTTTGACCCTCCAATAGATCTATCTTCAGACGAAGAATATTATGTGGAAGAAAGCAAATCTGCCAGGCTTAGAAAGTCAGGCAAGGAGCGCATTGACAACATCAAAAAGGCATTTTCCAAAGAAAACATGCAGAAGACACGGCAAAATTTTGACAAGAAAGTGAACAGAATTAGAACTAGAATAGTGACCCCGGAGAGGAGAGAAAGGCTAAGGCAGTCAGGAGAGAGGTTAAGGCAGTCAGGAGAGAGGCTGAAACAGTCAGGTGAAAGGTTTAAGAAATCAATTTCTAATGCAGCTCCCTCAAGGGAAGCTTTTAAGATGCGTAGCCTTCGGAAAGCGAAGGACCAAACCGTGGCGGGCGACATGGAGGAGGTCAGGGAGATGGGTGTGGACATCATTGCCAGGAGTGAGTCTCTGGGTCCCATCAGTGAGATCTACACTGATGAGCTCAGTGAGACAGACCATGAGGAGGCCAGGGCGGCGTATCCTCCCAGAGAAGGGGGAGAGATTTCGACCCCTGAGCCTTTAAAAGTTACTTTTAAACCCCAGGTAAAAGTGGAGGATGATGAGTCTCTTTTGCTAGATTTAAAGCAGTAATCATTAAGAGGAACTAAGCATATTATAAATATAAATCTCCTTAATCACAGGTTCTAGTTTAAATGATATAGTCATTTACATTGATAGCATAGTATAGTCATTTACTTTTACAATAGTCATGTTTATGTGTCTATAGGAAAACATGGATGACACGGCTGGTTTCATTTCTGATGTTTAAAATTTTAAAGGTAATACAAGTATTCTCTACATTTCCTTATAACTTCCTTTTTCTCCCCTGGGCTTGTATGATTCTATCAACTCTCTCTTTTATGTCATTCTTACGGCAGCTGTGGATTTTTAAGTTCTTTTCTCTTACCCAGCAGGAAAGTAGTTTCCTAGTGAGGGCCAATTAGGTGTTTGGTGTCTAAAACATAGGAAGGGCAATTTGTAGCCATCATTTGCAAGTGAACTTTCAGTTTTGGTCTAGATGGATGTTGTGGCCAAGCTCCAAGGGGAATAACCCATGTGGATTATATCATCCATATGTTCAAATAGATTCATCAGTAAATTAGTAGTCATTTCTTTTTGATGCTTTTGCTTAAAAAAAAAAATGAAGTTCTGGACTTGAGCATTTGATCTGGCATTATAGCTCTGTTATACCAAGCCCCTCGGCAAGACACCTGCTAATACGCTCATCAGTAAAATGGAGAGTGTTAGTCTATCCCATCTCAGAAGACTGTTGTGAAGATCAAAGGAAATGTTATACATTCTGGGGGTACAGGGAGCAAGCACATTCAGAGAAAACAAACCCCACTGGTTCCTCAGGAACAGAATTGTAATAATTACACCTTCTAAAAAAGACTTGAGCACCAAGCATTGAGGACCTAGGTTGGACAGAAGCTCAAGTTGGTCTTCAGAAGCCTTTTCATAGACTAAGGGATAAAAAATATTTGAGTAGCATCTTTTTTTTGTCAAAGACTAAAACCCAACCTTGGGTAGGGTCTTAAAATGCTTTCTGGAAACTCCTTTTCTAATTTTCTGTTGATTTAGATCTATGGTAGACTAGAGCAATCTTTGGGCAGCATGAAGTGTAAAACTATGACTGTGTGCTTTCAAGAGGATTTTCTAAAATCTTTCCTGATGAAATGGGTTTGGAAATGGCCTCATGTTTCTTTTTTCCAGAGTGAACCCCTCAGGGCCTGCCTGTCCAAAACAGTGATCATAGGAATTCATCATTGCTGGTTTGGGAGGAAGCCAGATTGCACTTAACCATTAGCTTTATATCTAGCCAATCTGGAAGTAGATATTATTGCTGACATGAAAAATTGTCATACTGGTTCTACACTTCTGGTATGTTTATATCTCCATTTTTTTTGTAATGGGGAAGAAATGATGGAATTGTTGAGTTTGAAGAGTGTAGACAAGCAGCTGTCATCAATTTTGGGTGCTCATAGCGTATTTAAAAATTGTAATCAACTTACACAGACAGATACAAATAAGCTTAGAGTATTTGACTTGGTTACCCAGATATTTGGTTTTGGGAGTTTGATTCAGTATCATTTCCTTCTTCACTCTACATGAATACATAAAATCATGAATTGTTCATCTCGATTATCTTTTTATATTGAAAACTAAAGCGTTTATAACATTCTTTGAAAAGAATAATTTAAAAAATGTTATAGTGTAGAAAGAGCTTGGATGCCTAGTCACGTATTCCCTTAAAGCCATAATAAATTTGAATTTTAAAAAGGTAAAGTTTGATGTTGGTATCCTATTTATAAATATTTTTACTAATAATGCAAATAACATGGCATGAATTTGATATAGTAACCCTTCTTGTTATAGATATGTTTTGAATTTAAGAAGAATATGAGAAGTTATAAGCTTTTTCTTTTTTCTAGCCCTACACAGAGTAAATATCATTGGGGCTAAAATATTTTTCTGCAGATATTACTACCAAGGAATTTTTATAAAGTTTGTTTGCTTACTGACCTTATTATGTCACCAGACTTAACATTATGGAATATATAGATACATTTGCGTTTTGATGTGGAAAACATTATAACCTGGTCAGCTCTTCATCGTGGTAGACTTCGTACAACCCCAGGAACACAATTTTATGTAACTAGAGATTCATTGAAACGTTATACTGCTTTCTTAGTTCCAGGATTTTCCCCTCCAAATCACTTTTGTATCTTGACATTTTTCACCATATAGAGTATTTCTCAATTCCACATTCATAATTGTTTCTCTTTTCACCTTCTGTTTTCTTAATGTAAAGAATGTCTATTTATTATAGGCTATAAAATCATGCATTGCCATTTAATGCAAAGAATATTCTAGTCAATGTTCCTTATTTCAGAAGTTTCAGATGACACAAAATAGATATTTTGCTCATTTTACTCCTGTGTTTTTGAAATTATATGTTAGATTTTAAGCAATTTATTCAATAAAACCATGACCAGGATTTATCTTTTTTTTTGCTTTTATGAGGCAAAATCGTGTAACACCATAGACACTGAGGGCGTGGAGTCTTGGTAGTGCGGCTCTGTTTTCTATGCATGTTGGATCCAGGGGCTTTTCCTCTGAGAGTTTATGGTGGCCTGGTTCTGGCTTTGTTTGTTAAAAAACAGGCCAAATGTGAGATAGTGATAAGAGAAGCGTGAAAATCCAGCTTGCTGAGAGTATATTGGTGTGTGTATGTGATCTCCCTTCAACAAGTTTTCATAAATTAAAAATACAAATATTTTCATTTTGACTTCATTCTTTGCCTTTTGTACACATTTAAGGGTTTGGTTTAGAACAAAGCCTGAAGTTCATTGTGACTCCATCAGCTAAAGAGCATGGGTTATGTTACATAAAATATTTCACAGAATCATTGTTAACTGTAAAATTCTATTACAGTTCCATTCCAGGCCCAGATTGCTGGGCCTTTTTTTCTTTTGAGACATGTTTTCTATAGCTTCTTTTATTGAACCCTACTAAAAACAATTGCAGTTTACATTCCCAAAATAAATTGCTCTGGCATATTTGAATCAAGACTTTGGGGAATGATGATTATGGTCTCCTCCTCAATTCTATTTGAATTTTGGGCATGCTAGTACCTGGTCTGTAGTGAATGAAAAATGAAGAAGCCTTAGTGCTGAATTCTGTGTGTTATTCTTGTGACCAACTACCTCTGAGTTATGTGATGCATGAGGATTTATAGCTGTCCTTACCCGGTCAGAATTCTTTAGTGTATTTCATAAGTAGATAGGGGACCTAGGGTAAGGTGAGTCTCTTAGAAAATCCAGGGATCCCTGAGAGGTTGGGGGTGGAATGATAGAATGTACTTGGGCTTTGAATTTACTTTGGGCGTCTTTCTAAAATCAGCTGTGCATGTCCAGCCCCTCCCCTCCCCCAACTGCTCTGCCTCTTGATGCCTTTGCTCATGCCACTTGTCTCCCTCTCATTCTGGGAGATGACTTTCAAGTTCAGTGATAATGTCAATTTCCTCATTTTAGCTTTCTTTGGTCACCTCCCACTCCCCAGGAAGGGTATGATTAATTACTTCATATATTCAATATATACAGCACCTTCATATGCCAGCTTCTATGTTAGGCACTGTGGATTCCAAGATGAATAGAACACAGTCTATGTCTCTCCTCCCCTCCACTTTTCCAACCCTTATCTTGGGCTTGTCATGTTCTGGGAGATAGTCAAGCAAAAATTGAGCAACGTGACTATTGCTGTGTATAAGATGTTAGAATTGTAGGGATGGAAGATGCTTTTTATAGAATTCAGATCACACATCTGTCATAGCACTTACATTGTATTCCAGTTTACTTAACTGCTTTCTAGACTAGACTGTTTTTCAAGGGCAAGAACTGTATTTTATTCGTCTGGGTCACCAGCACTTGGAGAACCTCCCATGTGCTAGCAGTCATTAAATATCATGAAGTACATGGCCCTGCACTAAAGGAGTTCTTTCCCTGGAAAAACTTAGGGGAGGAGTTAGGTAACCCAGTATCGTTGTGATAGGAGCCTCAGATTTAACAAAGGATGATGGGACCACAGATGAAGAGCATCTAACAAGTTGGCTAGGGGCTGCCAGGGAAATCCAGAGAATATTTCAGTTACCATTTGAAAACTAATGAGTCAGCTAAATAACAGAATTCAAGGCAAGGTTGAGCTGTGGAGATTGTGTGAAGGTGTTTTGGGTTTTATGTCAAAGGCCATAGCCATTGATGGATTTTAAGCCATGGAATACCATGACTTATGTTTATGAAAGGATGTTCTTATTATCATACCAGAGGCAGAGAGACCAGTTACCGGGGCCCTTGTATTTTCCTAGGTGAGAGAATAGCACCTACCCTATAGCATGAACAGAACTATGAATGGGTTAAACTTGGCTGTGGGTTGTGATGGGGAGAAAATGATAACTGGAACTTGGGCAAGTAGCTATGCAATTCATTGAGATAGGAAATCTATTCTGTCCAGGGATTTTTTTTTTAATTTTTATTTTTTTTTATTTATTTATGATAGTCACACAGAGAGAGAGAGAGAGAGAGGCAGAGACATAGGCAGAGGGAGAAACAGGCTCCATGCACCGGGAGCCCGACGTGGGATTCGATCCCGGGTCTCCAGGATCGCGCCCTGGGCCAAAGGCAGGCGCCAAACCGCTCCGCCACCCAGGGATCCCTCTGTCCAGGGATTTTAAGACCATATTCTCCTGATGGCTTTTTACTCTTTGCTCTGATGATAGCCTTGGTTCCTGGTCTCTTGGGATAGCCTGAATACCAAAGGGGAGCCATGCCTGTACTCCACATAAGTTCCCACACTACAGGTCTTCCTAATCTAGCCATTGTGATTCTCACCGATGTTTGAAGAAAAGCCTGATTTGAAGTGGCTCTAGCACGTCTGTTGTCCTATCCACTAGGACTCCACAGAGTCCTTGAGAAGCAGCATTGTCTTTAGGTTCATGGCCACCGTGAGAGCTTCTCCCATCTATATCTTTGCTCAAGGCCAGATTTCTGCTTGCTCATTGTATAGTCCGAAGAAAAGCTACTTCTCATTCTTAGATGGATATTTTTTTGTTACTTTTTTCTCTAATATCAGTTGTTTGGCACCTAAAGATTCCAGTTAGAGCTGTGATTGACAGTACAGTGTCAAAGCAGCTGTCATTATTGTAAAAGCTGCTATAATCTGGTACTGACCAAGGCCAGTTGCCCAGTTTTATGTAGCTACTCCTATCAGCTGCCACAGTTGTAGCAAGAGCCTCAATTTCATTGTGGGTACTGTGATTGCAAATCTAATTCCCTGGTGTCTCTTGTGTTAGATCTGACTCATGGCATTGCAAATGTATTAAGGGTTTAAAGATAGGGTCTGATGCAACCCATTTTATCTTCTCCAAGGTTCTTGCTGATAGAAGAGTTTGTATGAGGATTGCCAGCAAATGGGGACCAATGTATCATTATTACTGACTAAGCAAAGGTCCAGTAAATCTCCCAAATGTAGAACGTCTGGTAAATTGTCTTGGAAAATGTGGCTTAGAGCTAAGACAGGAGATTTCTGTCTCCCTGCCTGCTCTGGGGTGTCAGCAGGGAGAGCACAAGGTTTGTGGAGTGGAAACAGCTCATTTTATCAGCTAGTAGTGAAGACCACAGGCTTGCCTCACATGCTTATCCAGACGGAGCTGCAGGAATGGAAGACCTCCCCTCAGGTGAGCAGGTAGCAAGGATTCAAGAGGCAGAGAAACTGGGGCTCCTGGGCCAGAAAACCCACCACACCAGTACATATGGTCCAATTGGAAGCCACAGCCTGCTTTGTGCTATTGAGGCCTCACGTGCAGTTAAACAGCCCAGTGAAGGTGGCTGCTACTCCTTGTAGGCCTCATTTAGACACATTGAATTGAGGTGCTCATCTGCTTGATAGGACCAAGGAGGGTGGAGGGTCTCAGGCAAGTAGCATATTATACATCATAGCCCAGAGGGTAGGGCTGGAGAAATACGGTTGTTAGAGAAGTGAAATTCTGTGTTTTCATGAGAAAATTGGGGCAGTTGGACTTTGAAGAAGGAGTGGGTAAAGAAGTTGGCTCACTTCTAAATTAAGCTATTTTCTGAACAATTCTTGGGCTCTCATTTCAAGAACAATTTTCTCCTGACATTCTGTGATTACCATTACTTTTGTAAGAGCAGGAATTCTTTATCCTCAAACATTGTCTGGTTTCCAAACCTTCCTGGTATCATTCACTCAAAAATAAGAGAAACAATAAATACTGTTATAGGCTTAAATTTAGACCCAGAATGAGCACTATGGTCTGGGGGGTTTGGTTCATGTTCTTGCTGTGAATCCATTAAGGTATTATTCCTGGCTGAAGTTTGCCTACAGCATAATGCTGTAAAGTAGCCAAGTTATCTTTAGAATCTTATGGGCTAATATTTGTAACTTACCAGGGCCTCATTACCTTTTATCTAAAGCTTTAAATTCTCAACAAACTGGTTATTTAGATGTTTTAAGGTAAAATGAAATCCATTGAAATGAGTTTGTTGTTTTAATTTTATTAGCACCTTTCAAGTGGCCACATTTATTCGGAATGTTTCCATAAGGAAAAGAAATAAATTAACAGGATTATGCTTGGGATGTGCTTGGCTGTAGTTCAAAGCAATGGAGATTTCAGAGGGGGAACAATCACATGCTTGTCAACTGTAAAGAAACAGGACTAAATTTCCTTCAACAGGAGAGAAAATATCCAAATAGACCATAGGTTGTAGATC